CCTCCCCGGAGGACCGAGGGCCGCAGGGCCAGGGACTGGACCAGGCCGGGTCCGCAGAAGGGCGCTGGGCCTGGACCCGGACCGGCACTCCGCAGAAGGGCCGGATTCGGAGAAAGTTCTGTGCGGTCTGAAGTGCATCCAATTCTCGGGAAGAGGGGTGTCACCTGTGTTTTCCCATGGCTGTCAGGACAGGCCTAGATTGATTTCCCCATCGTGGTATAGAAAATGCTTCACGCAAAAGACCCAGTCCTCTTCCTGCAATAAAAAGCTCTGGCTGCCCGCTGGGATCTTTCTTCCAAGATGCAGGGGCTGCTCACCGAAAAGGTATTTGCTGAGGGCCTGCCACAAACGGACCTTGTGGGGTAAACGGCTTAACACACTGATGTACAGGTGTTTGTTTTTAAATCATCTGTGTTCCCTACGTTTTGATAGTATTGAGTCTTAAAAGTTTATTTAGAAAAAATTCACTCCGGGGCTACAACTTAAAGGATTTAAGAGTCTGTTCTTTGCATGACTTACATCCTGTTTTTAGCCTGGAATATACAGTGCTTGCATTCTGAATCCCAATTCCTGACGATGTTTTAAGAATGTCTTCATTTTGATAAATGAAGTCGATTCTAATATTAAACACAAAGCCAGTCAAACATTTTAAATAATGAAGGAAAAATGGACTCCAAGTCACATGAAAGAATCATGTAATTGGAACATAAAGGCAGAGTTTTGAAGGCCGCCAGTTTGGGCAACATGCATACACATGTACACTTAACAGTTCCCAGCCTCCTCAACGCCAGACACCCTTTATTCTCGCTCCATAGGCCACGTGTTCAGAAAGGTCTACTCCACTAAATTGCATGTATTAAGTAGTGATTCATCTTCCCACTTAAAAAACAAACACAAAAACCTGCTATGTTTTTGTGTACGCAACTGCCAATCAGTGCTTCCTCAAAACCTGAGCTAACCTGTTGTTAATAGTGGATTCCAACCTAAAGAAACCTCTGGTCTAATTGCATGTTTCCATGGAGGTTTGGAGAGACGGAAAATTATTCAAAGACCTCCAAGAAAACCGAGGCACATGGATTAGGAACCAGGGCTAGGAAGTGCCTGGATGCAGTGTTGCTCTCTGTGTTTCCCACAGCTGGGGGGCGGGAGGAGGTAGGAAAGGCAATTTGCCGTTTAGATTTGGCCTGCCTGGGTTTAAAGCCTGACTCTATTGCTTATAAGGCCACTTTAGGCAAGTAACTTAACCTCCCTGGGCCTCGGCTTCCTCATCTATATAATCAAACTAATTTTAATATTATTGCCTACCTTGCAGGGCTTTTTGAGAATTACGTGAGATAATACATGTGGAGCATTTATAATAGTACCTGACTCACAGTAAGTGCGCTATGATTGTAACTGTTGTGTCCATTGTTACCACTAACAGTATTCAGAGTTTTAAGGTCCTACTATCCAAGCAGGGAGACTCATAGCTACTGTGTGTAAAACAACCTTTACACCCTAGAAATTTTCCATGGGTAATCTGCCAGGGTCACATGGTGAGTGGCATGAAGGGATTTAAACACAGGTCTGACTCCACAGTCCACTTCCTTGTATTGCTAACATGTTCCAGGGGTACCTTGATCAGATGCTGTCAACAGCTTGTTAAGGGTAAACCGGCTCTGGCTTTCCTAAGAGGCTTAGCAAGTGAATGGCTTCTCAGATCCACTTGGGAATTCACAAGCAGTGGCATTTCTTTCTCATTAGAGCCACATGTTTCTCCAGAAGTGGGTCGATTTCCCCAAATTGTTATTAATAACTAAAATATCACGGCAACAGTTTTAAACAACACAGTCTAAAACTTACATAATCAACCCGTCCTTTAAAATTTTCCATCCTTCCTCATAACAGATTCTCTCTCTTAATCATTCTTGTGAGCATGGGGAACTATCTGGAAATTTCCAGGAACGTCCCGACTTATCGTAATTATTTTCTCTTTTCCATGAAGGTTTATTCTTTTCAAGACAACTAAACGTGGTATATTTTTACTATCTTTATAATTCTCGTCATTTCAAGACATTTGCAAGATAAAAGAATCCTAGGCTTTCAAGATCTCCTCTCTTCAATTTCCACAGGTTCTTCCACATCTCTACAGCATGGTTGCTGATTCTTTTCCAAGGGCCTTTTCTAGAATCCCTACACAGATTTCTGTTACGCTAAACTGCCTGCTGTGCTTTCTGACTAGGACTGTTGGCGAATTTAACATTTACTGGCCTCTTCTCTTGCTTTTTAAGGTTTCAATATTATGATAACGTTATATAAGACTAAAGTGTCTCTTTTAAACCCACGTGCTTCCTTTGTTTCCCACCATGGCTTAGGAATCTGTAACTCATTCTACCTCCTATATTTATAGCACTCGGTTAATTTACGGTTTTACTTCTTTTTCTCTTTCCTCCTCCTGGTTCACACCAAATTCTATTACGTGGCCTCCCCCAATATGGCTGCCTACTCCTTTCCCTTCAAGTATTTTAAGGAAATACCTTCCAAATAATTTTCTCTCCTCTCCATCACATTCCTGAAAGGTCACATGTTGTATGTGATGTTGTGGTGACATCTACCAAAGCCTCTGAAGAAACAGTATTTAGAATAAGGGTGTAAACTTTCAATGCCTATGGGTGCCAGGTAGATACAAGAATGTGTGACACTGCTTACAGAAGTGGTATGAACTGAAGCCTACAGGAGAATTCAAGTCCCGTCTAAATGGGGTTGGACAAGCCGGGCTCGGTGGCTCAACCTGTAATCCTGCACCTTTGGGAGGCTGAGGTGAGTGGATTGCCTGAACCCGTGGGTTCGAGACCCGCCTAGGCAGGCGAGACCTCATCTCTACAATAAATCAAAAAATGAGCCGGGCGTGGTAGCGCGCGCCTGTAGTTCCAGCTACTTGGAAGGCTGAGGCGGAAGGATTGCCGGAGCCCAACAGGTCGAGGCTGCGGTGGCCCAGAGCGGCCACTGCACGCTAGTATGGGCGACAGAGTGAGACTCCAACTCAAAAATAAATAAAATAAAATAAATGGGGTTGGACAGTGGGGAATGGGGATGGAGACCACCCAGCCCCAGACCAGTTGTTGCCAGGTGGAAATACCAGACTGCAGAATCTCCTAATGGAGTCCAAATCAGGATTGTTACCTAAAATCTACCAAATGCCGACTACTTAAAAACAACAAAAATAAAAAGGAACCTC